GCAGAGAGCGGCTGCGCATCAAAGCTCGCTGCTTTATCGCGCGGGGTGCCCAATTATCGTCGCGCGTCGCGATCAAATTACGGTTCTGTCGAAACAACCGATAAAGAAAGACTCGCTGTTGGCCGCGCCGGGGACATCTGTGTTTGCTGTGGCGCGTCTGTGCGTCGATCAGGCCCCGTGCCAGCGGCGGCCACAGACAAGTCCCAGGAACGCGAAGCGGCATTATCGATTGTTTGCGGTGCCTTTGCTGCTTGATAAGGCTGGCTAATCTATAAGTGTAATCGTAAGAATGTCCTGTAGACCCTGCGAGACTGTTGGGACGATGTCGTCTCTCTCTCTCTCTTTCCCCCCCCTCTCTCTCTCTCTCTCTCTCTCTCTCTCTCTCTCTCTCTCTCTCTCTCTTTCTCTCTCTCTTTCGGAACACGCGCGTTTGTTTCGCGCTGAACGGAAGTTTCAGTCGCTTTCGGGGACGGATCCCAGAAAACTCGGCGAAAGCGAGCTGGCGGTGTTTGGTGAGTAGCGTGTCTCGCCGAAAATGGCGAAACGACGACGACGAGGAGGCGAGATCCCAAGCCTCGCGTGTGGCCTCTATCTCCCCGTGTTTGTCTATTCGCAAATTCGTTCCTCATACTCGGCCGAAAGGAAAAAGCAGACGAACCGGGGGGGGATCTGGCGCGAAAAGTAATTGAAAAGTTAAATAGCCGCCACGCGCGCATGAGTCGCAGCCAGTGTCGCCAACTGCGTCGCCGAGGTAGAACGAGATGCACAAATCGGGGTCGGTTTAGCCGATGTCGTGAATAATTTCTCTTCCCGTTCCTCGACTTTCAGAGAAATCATTAGGAAATATTCCCGTGGCCCAGAAACGGCGGTTGAATTCTCGCGCAGCGCGCAAGCTCGGCCTCGCCGCGCGCCGCTTGGAAAAGTCACTTCACCTCAGTGTCACGACCGCGCAAGCAAGAGAAAGCTCGCCGTCGCGATCCACCACCTCGTCGTTTCTGCGAGTCCGCGCGCGCGTGCGACGAGAAAACGGAAGGGTAGGAGAGGGAGAGAGAGAGAGAGAGAGAGAGAGGGAGAGAGAGGGAGAGAGAGAGAGAAATCGGAAATCCACCTGTCTCTATCGGCGGGCGAATCCAGCAGGAGGGAAAAGATCTCGGAGCATGCTTTGGCCGTCGAGCGGTTTGTCGGCGGTCGAACGACAAGCGTTCCCCAAACACAGAGGGACAAGGCCAACCCCCGGGGGTGGCAGGCAACAAGTGACCACAGGGCAGACACACGAACAACAGCCGTGAGCGCTTTTACTCTCCCCTTTCCTTTCCCGCTGCTTGCCTCCTCGCTCCCTCTCGCCTCCTTTCTCTCTCTTTCTCTCCCTCTCTCTCTCTCTCTCTCTCTCTCTCTCTCTCTCTCTCTCTCTTTTTCTCTCTCTCTTTTTCTCTCTCTCTCTCTCTCTCTCGCTCTCGCTCTCGCTCTCGCTCTCGCTCTCACCTTCGTGGCTGTCGACCAGCCGGTCGTTTGTCGACGACAATCGATATATCGACCGTCCGCGGAAACCCGACGTTATGTCGAGCACACGTGAGAGAGTGAAACGCGCGCGTACGTGTGGGTGTGTGGCTGCGTACTCCGGCGAGGAGGGGGCGGCCGAAGGGCGAAAGCGGAGGCGCGCGGTGCCTTACGTGGGTTGCGGTAGGCCACGGACATCCGTTCATCCGTCTTTCGTGCCCTTCGAAGGTCCGACATCGATAGCGAGCTTCTTCGTAGCCCGCAGAGAGCGAGCGGGCTATGACCGCCCGTCGAAAGTGAAACACGTATCGCGTCGCGACTTGGATGCACCGAGGCTCGCCGATACGTGTGTTCTCATCTGGAAATTGTCGCCATTGTCGTAATCTCGCTCGAGCAAGCATCTCGATCTCGATCTCTCAGATATCTCGCTCGGGGATTTCCTTCTCCCGAGAGAACGCGAGAAGAAACATTAGGGCGCGCCTCGAGGCTGTTTGCTCGAGCGGCGGGGGATTAACACAGTTTTGACGAAATGATTATCGCCGCAGTATAGAGAATCCTTGCCGCGCGCTTTCGACATCCTCTCAAGTGCCTAGGTAAACAAGATAAATCCCCAACGGCCTAACCCCGCGGGAGAGACAAAGCGGGAATCTCACGCGAGGCCCCTTATATCTCGCCTAATGAGAGATCCACGTTGCGTAAATTTCGGTTACCGAGCAAACAAAGGTACACCGAGTCAAGATAAGACGAAGGCAAGGCGCGAGGAGGAGGACGGCCGAGGGAGAGGTCGAAAGGGCGGCGAAAGGGTCGAAAAACGGAAGTTCGTTAGCCGCGCTGGCTACGGGAAAACGCCGCCCCCGCAGAGCGCTATTTCTTTCGGGTTTTACACGGGGCGCGCGGCGTCTCGACGTGGCAATGTTTTAGCGTATTGATCCGTTGGGGGTTTAGCCGAGTCGGTGGTAAGAGAACTAGCGGAACTAGTGGACGCCGGCGGGGGGGAGGGGGAGGGAGGAGGTGAGGCGAGGCGCGGGTAGCGGCGAGAGGGACGGGGGCGAGATGGTTGCCGCCGCGATGGTGGAGGAACGGTCAGCCGTGGAGCTGGTGGCGGGGGTAAAAACTGGACGGCGGCACTTACTCGCTCATAATCGCTCCCCGAGCCACTCCAACCACCCTCAACACCACCCCGGCGTTAGTGCCCCGCTGCACTCCCACCGACACACGTAACGGCTTTCCCGCGTGTACGTTTGTTTCTCTGCCTGGGTGTGTGTATGTGTATGTGGAGGTAAACAGCGGACAGGGCGGGCACCCAACCTGCCGCGGCGTACGTGCGACGATTAGGAGCCGCGTGCGAGAGCATTAGCTCCGAATAGTTACGTGTGTTCGGCAGCCGGCCCGGCGAGTTTATCGGCCGGTCGATCCCGAAATAAGTTGGTATTTTTGTAGAGCGCCGGAAGAGTGGGAGGGAGAGAGGAGATTGGAAAGCGCGTGATCTAAGGATGCAGCGTGAAATGGCGCACAGGACTCGCTCGCGATTGAAGGTCGCTCCGGTGCTTTCGACGTCTGCTCTCGCGACTGAAGAGTCGCGATTTCAGACATGTATATGGGCTGAAAAACAGCCTTGCAGCACTCCCGCGGTAAAAGTAAAAAATGCCACCGCCCCGAAGTGGAGAAAGAAAAAAAAAGAATTGCGGACTCCGAGCGAAGGGGGGAACACGGTTTTTATCTTAATAGCCTAATAGCTTTTCTCTCTGTTTTTTCTCTCGTAGTAAAATTTAATGCAAGAGACCCTTCATAATAGCGGGATATAACAGTGATAGCGGGCGAGGGATCATAATTAACTCCTCGAATCAACCCGACCATTATCATCCCCTTCCTCGGTAATATCGCCCGGCCGATAGACTTCCCGCGGAGCTCTCGCACCGAGTTGCACCTCGCGACCGAGGCTCCACGCAATCGCGCATAAATAATTATTACAATGTAGCGTTCTCGTCCGTCGAGGATAGCGTCCGTATCACTCTCGCCCCCCCCCTTCCCCCGCCTCGCGCCCCGAAACAACCGACTTTTGCACAGACGATCTTACACGCGATCTCGGAATCGCGCGCTTCGATCTCACCTCGGAATTACATCGGCATTGCGGGCCGCGCTCGAATTTCTGGCCTCGCGCGACGCGAAATGGCGAGCGTTTCCTCGGGGAGAAGAACAAACATCGGCCGAGCATCGCTGCGCGTCGACGTGCATATCTATTACTTACTTAAAGAAAGGTAGCAATTCTCGGAAGAAGTTACGAGTTCGCGGCTTCGCCAACGTCGACGTGGCGATGGCGACACGAATCGATAGAGGCCGCGCGTCCGGCGCTCGAGCGAAACGCGCGCGCGGGGCCCTACAGCGGCGCGGCCGCGGAGGAAAGCCAAGGAGAAAGAGAGCGAAAACAAGGGAGAAGAGGACAGGCAGACAGCCACCCTCGTTACGTATGCACACCCTTAAATAATTGCGGCTCGTTCGCGCAAATTATCCCGGAGTTTCCGCGTCGACCAAAGTAAAATATAATAACACGGCTGGCGCGTCGCGCGCGTGCGTGCACGTAATGCGAGTGTCTTTCTCGCCTCGTCTGGACGATTTGCTCGCGCGCGCGCGTACGTAGAGAGCCGCTCATCGTGTGCGTGTGTGCGTGTGTGTGTGTGTGTGTGCGTGCGTGTGTGTGTGTGTGTGTGTGTGCGCGCGCGCGTGTGTGCGCGCGCGCGGCGGCCGATCGCTTCTACGTAAGAAGTAAGCGAGCGAGCGAGCGAGCTAACAAGTACGCCTCGCTGTCTGGACTCGCTTACGCGGAACACAAAGTGTGAACGTGCGTTTAAGTCCCCGAGTCTCGTAAAATCCCCAGGGGCAGTAACAAGCCGCGTCGCGATAACCCGCGTTCTCACGTCTCGCGTTCGACTCGATTCGACGCCGCTCGGTGAGGAGCGATCGTCGCGCCGGCGACGGGGGTTGACTCGCGGCGAAGACCCCTCTAGTTCAGTTCTTACCCTGTTACACACACACACACACACACACACATTCATACATGTACACTGATCGCGTGATGATGTGCACTGTACGACCGGAGTTTTTTACTTTGTCTCGCAGCACAGCACGATGGCCGCGCGTCGATGCGTCGCGTTCTCGCCGGATGACTCGGGAATCTCACGCGCGTCTCCTACAGATTTTGCATCAGTATCGAGTGAGCGATTCTCTCCGTCCATCTCTGTCTCCGTTTCTCCTTCTCTCTCTCTCTCTCTCTTTCTCTCTCTCTCTCTCTCTCTCTCTCTCTCTCTCTCTCTCTCTCTCTCTCTCCTTCCTCCTCTCTCCGTCTAATCCGCTTATGTGTGTCGCGTGTAGGCGGCGTGTGCGCCGCCGCGCGAAACCGTGCCGCGCAAAATTGTTTTCGTCCCTTGGATCATTTCCCGGGACGCGAATCCCACTTTTGCAAGACGAAACAATTCACGTGAACGGCGTCTGTTTGTTTGTTTCAGAAGGAGCTTCCAGTTCTATGCTGGCGTACTTCCTCGGTAAGTCGATCAATTGTCTCCGGCGCGTTGCGTAAAACGGTAGCGCGCGATCTTGCATGCGCGGTTTTGAAATTGATATCTACGATATTGTCGCGGAGAGGATGTGAGGTGCGCGAGAGATACTCTCCATTTCCCTTTTCTCTTTTTCACTTTTGACTTTGCATGCTTGCGTTCAGATACGTCCGATTTTTCTTCGTCAGCTGGGAGATTGCCGACATGAGATGTAACGAGCACTGGAATGTGCGAATAAACGGCGAAACCGGAAATTTGCGCGACAGATCATTCCGGATAGAACCGTCACGTTCGAAGAACTCGTCAACGTAGCGAGGCGTTCTCGAGATCGAGATTTACTTTCGGAACTGGTTCATGCGTCACGACGACGCATGAGTCTTTTTCTGACGCTAATAACAACGTTCTTCATGCAATCGCGTATATTTGAACAAACTACGGACGGTTATAAAATCGTCCGATAACGATAAAATTTCTAACGTCCGAATCGTAAAATTACAAAAAAGTATCGGACGTACTTGTCTGTACGTCATGTGTCTTTTTCGTCCCAAATACTCGCCGCAAACATCCCACGAGAAGAAAGGAGACGTCACACGCGGTTGACTGGTGTCACTTTGTATCGAACGATGGACATCTTCGCGTCACTCTGAAACTTGACCATTTTCTCCCGGTTCTAGCAGATTCGTCCCCTGGAGAACTGACGTCGACGATATTGCCATTAGAAGCTAAAGAATAAACAGAATACCACACAAAACGAAACCTGTATAAGGGGGGCAAAGTCTAAAAAGGGGGGGATTTTTCTCAAACGAAACGGGTTGCCGATCAACCCTTTCGCGTGTACTCACACACACACACACACACACACACACACACACACACACTGTAAACTGAAGTGTGTTACAATAACATGCTTGAAGCATGTTAAAGTATGTCTCCACTTTAGACACACAAAATCAGCAAATTAAATTAACACATATATGTATGTTAAAAGAACATATTTATGTATGTGTTCAATATAATCGTTTGTATGTGTGTTAATGGTGTTAGGTGTATTAAAATAACGTATCCCAAATGTGTTATGAAGGTATTATCAAAATAACACACCTCAAGTGTGTTATGAAGGTGAATTGAGCGACATTGCAAATCCAAGTGTGTTATTTTGAAATTTGAAACAAGCGTGTAAATGAATGAATCTTTTTTACACATTTCTTCCATTTTAAGTCACGCGTTATTTAACATATTGCGTTTAAGCATATAATAATGAATAACGTGTAATTAATGTTTTAGTCTCTAATAATATGAAAGCAAGTTATTATTGCATTAATTTGTTCAATAGATACAATACTTTTTTGAAGGCAAGTAGTCGCCGATTTTGTCGATTTGTGTTTTTCTCACATGTATTTTTTTTTAATACACGTATGTGTGTTCATTTAAACGTGTGTTAACAAAATTAGTGTGTTATCATGAACTACACATTACTAGCGTGTTACGTGACTTGGTGTGTTATCCAATATATCATCCAAGTGCGTTCTCAGTGTATTTCGATTATCATTCTGTGTCTAAATAACACACTCTACGTGTGTCACGGGATTGTTGAGGAAAAGTAATACGTTACATGGTGTGTTACAGACAAGTGTGTTATTAAAACACACATTTGTCACAGAAAACGAATTACTTTGACGCACTTGGTGCCTTAACACCAGCTAATGTGTCAAAATAACACACTAACACTAAATTTCAACACACATGTTCCGATGCCTAGTTTTACAGTGCACGCGCACCTCGAACGTTGCTGTTCTCCACGGAGTGAGCAGCTCGCGTGCATTATCGACGGGCTCCCGATTTCCCGGGTCGAGATCTTCCCCCTCGCGGAAAGGAGAACGCCGGGCGATCCGCGCGTGGTTGGCGCGGTGTAAACGCAGGCGTGTAACACACCCGAGGTGGTCGTTGCGACGCGCGCGATTACTTACTCTCCGCCGGCGAATTAACGACGAATCACCGATGGGAAAACCGGTTGCCGCGGTCGAACGAACGGCACGCAGCCTAACGACTTCTCTCCTCGGCCTCAACGGGCATTCCAACGGCACGAGTTCGCCCCGCGACGCGAATTAATGGAAACACGCCGCGGCATGCCGTATGCGCTGATAAAGCGGAACGTACGTCTCCTCCTCTCCCCTCCTGTCTCTCTATCCTCTCTCTATCCTCCGTCGCGTTCGGTATTAAGCGATTCCCCCGCCGGCGGGAGAGACCCGCGCCTCCTCCTCCTCCTCCTCCTCCTCCTGCTCTTGGTCCTCTCGGTCGAGGCAGCACGGGGAAGCGACGAGAAAGTGGAAAAAGACAGCGCCGAGAAGCAGGAAGTAGGCGCGCGCGAGTCGCCGAGAAAATTAGAGATCTATGAATGATACAGTCGAAATTAATCCGGTATTTAAATCACAATTGCTTGGTAATCTCGGAATCCATGTGTGTGCGTGCGCGTGTTACGTGTGGGTAATATAATTACCGTGTAACGGTACAGAGTTTAATCCCCGTCGATAAATGAATAAACTAATGATTTATGCTAACGGGGCCGGTGAGTATCGCGACGTCGTATCTCATGCCCGCGTGTGCACGCGCGTGTGTGTCTTTTTCTCACTCGCTTCGAAATAGTTAACAAGTGGAAAAGACGGCCGCCGGTGCGTAAATTACGTCAAGTGTTAAGAGTAACGACGACGAGTCAGCGACACTTAACGGAATTATCTGTGAGAAACTGAACAGGGACGGGCGCGATTCGAGAGAGAGAGAGAGAGAGAGAGAGAGAGAGAGAGAGAGGGAGAGAGAGAGGGAGAGAGAGAAAATCGACCAAACCCAACGTCGATTTCAATCCCTCCGGAGCGCGCACGCGTTCCGACGTGTATAAATATTGAAATATTCACGCCTCTGCGGATATCTTAATTAACGCCGATAACTCACTCACGCGCGCGTGTTGTCAATCTCGCCGATCAGGCCGCGCTCGCTCGCTCGCTCGCTCCATCGACAGCGCGGCACTTCCGATAGAATTAATTGCTACAGCCTCGCGTTGAAAGGAAACATATGTTTCCACGCGCGTTATTAATATATGCATCTCGCGCGCGCAGTCGATAGTCCACGAGCGCATCGTCGTGGCTAGTCCGGTTCCAGTCGGGAACGGGGTGGCGGCGGCGGCGGCGGCGGCAGGAGGGAGAAGGGGGGAGGAGAACTACCGGCCGGAGAGAACAGCATTCGGAAATGGATCGATTCCACTGGAATAAAATGTCCCGGCGAATTAATAGAAACTCGGTCGCGCGGCGCGTTATTACGCGCTGCACCGCGATAGATGGGGAGCGTCGTCCTTTCCTGCTGCTACCCCGCGATGCCTTCCGCGATGCGCTCGCGCGCGAGTGCGTCTGAAAATTAAGCGATCCCTGCATTCACGCATGAGCGCGATCGCGAGCGCGAAGTTCGAGCGCGAATCGCAAGACCGGCAAGACGAAACGGCGGAGGAGCGCGTATAATCGATCGTAACTGTCTCTACGCCGCTAAATATTCCTTCCTGAATCGGACAACCTTTCAGCGTCCATAAATACCCGGCGTAAGAACTTCGCTCGCTCATTAATGAAGTAACTGACGCTTTCCCGCGTAATACATTACCCCGTTACATCGGTAACTCGAGATTGGAATGATCGATGTCATTCTCCGTCTGAGAAATAGGAGAAAAGAGAGAGAGAGAGAGAGAGAGAGAGAGAGAGAGAGATAGGGAGGGGGGACGCATGCATTCAAAGATGCAAGACGCCTCGGCGGAAACTTGGACGGCTCTGCCTGTAAATGGATAATCAATGTTTCATGCGTGCGCTGATAAAAATCTCAAAGATTCCATTCGTCGTCGGCAACGTCGGCAGATAATTACGTACGCGACACGCGAAAGACTTTTCGATCGCGCGAACATTCGCGAATCGCGGATTCATTCACGCGTGGTGAACAGGTCTTCTCTTCCTCTCTCTCTCTCTCTCTCTGTTATCGAACGAGAGCCGTCCCGTTCTTGACGCGCGGCCTTAAAGCGCGGGTCTAAGGACGTCGGATTTTCGATTTCGGTGACAAAAATGAACGGCGTCCGCGCGCTAAAGTGATGAGGGTTAATTGGATTTAGCTTATCAGATCCGGGCCGAGGACTTATTTACAGGCGATATTTTTCTCGCGAGCGGGCCGCTCTCGCGCGCGCGCGCGGTATGTTCGCGACAATGTAGCAAATTAGGTTGCTCCTCGCCTCGCCTTTTATAACCCTGACGACCCCAGCGGGCATTCCGATGGCGCGAGTTCGCCTCGCAACGCGGAATTAATGGAAACAAGCCGCGGCACGCCGGTACGCGCGCTGACAAACCGGAACGCTTGCCATTCCGCACAACTTTGCGCGCGCCTATCCTCCTCCCTCCTTTTCCTCCTCCTTCTTCTCTTCTCCTGCCGACTTCCCTCCGCCATTCGCCCTTGCCGGCCGATCGTCCCGGCGCGTTTGGATTAACCGATTTCGTGTTCGCGCGCGTGGAAAAGTGTAAAGAGATAGAGACATGGCAGCTAATGTCGCGCTAACATTTGTATCGCAGCAAGCCTCTCCCTCCCTCTTCGTTCCCTCGCTCTCGCTCTCCATCTCTCGCCGCGATACTTAAATACCCCCGGCATTTCTGAAATGCTTCCTCGCGATAGCCGCAACATTTCTTCGCCGTCTCGGGACGGATCGTTTTCTCGAGCAAAAAGGCGCTCGTCGTCGCGCCGCGCGCCACGCCGCGCGTCGCCCTCTCAGAGCGACTCACTCTCTGAACTCTCTCGTCCGTCGATGATTTTTCATTTTCTCCCCGCTCGTTATATCGTCGATTACATTGTTGCCCGAGTGGAATGCCAATCGTGTCGTTATCGGTGAAGAGGAATCGCCGGCCGCGCGGAACGTCGGAGATTCGAACGGCTTTTGATATTGAAGCCGCTCTCGTCTCTCGCCTCTCGTCTCT